CAGGAACAACATCAGGGCTCTCTGTCCAGAAGAGTGCAGCTTCTGAGAACAGCTCATATACTGCTCAGAACCCTCAAACTCCCAGGCCTCTGGTAGAGGACCTGAGATTGAGGAAGACACACACCACCCATAGGGGTGAGAAGGGAATTTTTTTTTATATAGTAAATAGTGCAGTTTTGGCTATTACAGAACGAAACTTCAGCGAGTGTCTGTCGCATAGATATGAAATACATGGGGAAAGGAGGCATTAACCACAATCTGAATTACCTATCACATTAACAAAATATGTAATGCAAATTATTTGAACTGCCTTTGACATCTGGATACAGGTGGGGAATTTCTGCTGTTCTTAGCTGCGCCTTCTTATCATAGCTTTCCTCCTCTGCATCTCAACCTGTGTGGATTAATATTTCCCAGACTACATTATGCATTTATAAAGTTCTTGAATATCAGTAACCAAAACAGGCAATAGCCAATTAGCTGACTGACGGTCCTATAATAGCGTATCAACTTTTTTTGCCATGAGATTCTATTAGCATCCTCTATATAGCTTACTGAGAACACTGTTTAATTAAGGAAATCAAGGTACATATGTTACAAACTGGATTTGGGGGAATCCACCAGTCAAGCTGAATATTCTATCACACTCTTGTCTGCCCAACTGAGACACTTTTTAGCCCTTATAGCCAGGATTTTTCCTTTCAGCCAAGGAAAAAAATGAATCAAAGGTGCTTTGGATTTTTTCTGTCCAAAGCCCCAAAATACAGAATGAGAAACTTTGTGCCAATCCTGAAACAGGGTAGTTGTGGTATCATGCAGTGTTGCACATGGCAAAACGTTTAGCGAGAAATTCCTTTGTTAAACCAGTGGAAGTAAATCTTTCTATATATAACAAAAGAGTTTATTGGGAGAGGGGAAATGGATGGCAAACAAGAGAAAGCAATCCACAGAGAGAGAGACAGATCTTTTAAATAAAATCAATAAAGTCAGCCTAGTTAAGTTAGTTACTTATCACCTCTTTGGAAAAGTTCTTGGACTTGGATTAGTTACAGAGAAAATGGTTGAAGAGACGTATCTGGTCTCCTGCTTGGATGGCAATATCTCCCTTATGTACCATTAGAAATAAAAGAAAACAGATAAAAAGAAATCAAAGGACTGTACTTGCTAAAAATGAAATTAGGTAAAGATTTTTTTGCTGGATAAAATTGTATATTCCTACTTTTAACCTTAAATCATGAAAATCATTTAAGATAATGAAGTTTGTCATACTGCATGTTTTACTGACCCACTAAATGATGCTTCAACTAGAAATTGTTAACACTGTGATGATTTAGATTAATTAAACCTTTAAAGATGAGAAAAAAGTGTGTATCAATGTTAAATATGATTTCTAAAATATAATGAACATAAAGTTGCTTAAATTGTACAATTAATGCTAAGTATGCCATTGATAAACAGTTGCAAAATACATTGCATTCTTTTATAATATGAGAAAGGTTTTGAAGTTTGAGCTTAATACTTAATACTAAACTCTGTTCTGTATTGTTATTTATTGTTATTTATAAATGTTAAAAGAGAGAAAAAAACAAAACGAAAAAGGGAAAACAAGAAAACAAGAAAACAAGAAAAAAGAAAAAAAGATGCTGCTTGGGAAAAGTAAGTAAATATTTAATTTCTAACTTCCCCCTTCTTTATAGTCCAACCAATTTACAGTGTTTATAAAATTTAGACTACTGTTTAAACATTTAGATTTTCGAAGAGGCAGAACATGGAATATTGTGATATACATGTGGCTTCGGAAAAAAAACCTCACTAAGGATGAACTCAGTCTCATTAAAACTGGAGAGCAGCATGAGTGGAGAATTTCTGTCATAATTTGATTTTTTTTAAAAGCAGCTATTGCACAGAAAAGAGGAAAAACAGGACTGAAGGGGTAAGTTGTAACTTCTTTCAGGGATTTCAGAAACCTCTATTTCTGAAGCAAACAAAAGATTGCCATGTCATGTTACACTAGTCTGAAATTACCTTATACTCTGGGTTGTATCGCAGCATTAATATTTGGATAAAAGGAGACAAGGGCAAAACTTTGCCAAAAAGAACAAGCGGGCCTTTATGATATAAATCCCTCTGAATTCAAATTGTAGCAAGAAAATATTTTTCTCGCTGCATGAAGGAAATGCACCCCAATGAATATCATAACTTTTTCTGAAACTCAAGCAAGTAAATAGGCTTGGGATGTGCAGGAAAAAACTCACAATAACCCCTTGTTAACTCTGAGGGGAATATCGGTGTCTTTTGTGAAAAAAAAAGTTTGATAACATTTAACATTGCAATTACGGAGAGGGGCAAGATTAGGCACAGATGAAGGATCCATTCATAGTGGTGAAGGAGGTCAGTGGAGGGGGGCGTTACAAGGGCTGTCCACACTACAAGCGTGATCAGGAGAATTTGTGGAATATCCAAGAGAGGACCGGCTCACACATTATTACTCTCATCTTTCTTGACTAATTTGCTTCTACATGAATAGCAGGAAGAAGAGAGCAAAATAAGATGTTTTTCACATATGGATTTTTCTTTCCTCTTCTAGTTAACAAAGTGACAGGGAAAGCAATTTTGGGTGGACAAATGGCAGAAAAGGGTAGGATGAACCAATATCTTCTGATCTCTCACCACCCTCTTTGGATGCTGTAACAATAATAAATGTTATGGGTAAAAGTTGTACCTTGGCACTCAGAAAGATATCAATAGTTGAGAAGAAGCAGAATGTAATAGCTGGGCAGTCATACCCAATTTCTTCTTGAATCATCAGCCAGAAGACTACAGGGTAGGTCGTGAACTCCCATACTGCACTGCATTTGGTGCCCCTGGGTCCTAGAAAAGAGGTGCTTTAAAAAACAAAAACAAAAAACTGATGCTGCGCCATGTTTACCCTGGCCCCTTGGAGAGAGTAGAGAGAGGAAACCACTGGACCTTACTGAATATCAGTAAATATACAGTTTAGTAAAACAGTAATGGGAGCCACCCCCGTCTGCTGTGTTTCCCATACGGCTCAAGGCATCACTGGCTGGCAGGGAGCGTAACTCTTGACGTGGGCCGATTCCCTCTTTCCTTGCGAGGGAAAGGAGGGAGGGCGCCAGCTAGAATCCCTCCCCTCGTCAGGACCAAGTTTCCCAAACAGCTGGGCAGAAAACTGGCCTTTCGTCGCCACAGCAACGGACCACAGGGAAGTCCCGCGGACGGCTCAGTATCTGCCGCCGCCGCCGCGCGGTTCCCTTCGCCTCTGGATTGGTGCTGCGAGCCGGGAGGGGAAACCCAGCGCTCACCCCGCTCCCTTCCGTCCTTCTCTCACTCTCCCGAGCAGGGTCGAGAGCAGCACTGAGAACTGGGTTCCAGCTTAAGCACACGACCTCCTAACCCGCGTCTCTGGCCCCGCTGCGCGCCTTCGCCCGTCTCATTTTGCACAGGGCCGCCGCAGCTACCGCAGCAACATGGGCTCGACCCCAGATAGCCACGAGATGAACGGGCTGACAGTGGGAAACGGCAACAGCAACGGCAACGGCGACGCGACGCCTCCAGACGAGGTAAGAGGCTCTCTCTCGGCGGGCAGGCCGAGGGGCGAGGGGACAAAGCCTCCTTCAGCCGCGATTGGGCGTTGTTTCTGGGAGGGAAGCTGGGCGAAGGTGCCCGGGGGCGTGGGATTCGTCCGCCGGCGCCGTGAAGGCCTGTGTGCTCCGAAGGGCCTGGTTTCCCTGGCAGGCGAGTGGGCAGAGGTCTGCTCTTGGCGTTCATCCAAGGGGATGAAGGGCCGTTTTGCTCTGTGAAAGCGCGACAGGCTTGCGTAGTGCCTGCCAGTTATGCTTCTTCGCAGGGCGGAAATTCCCGTAAATCCCGTCTCGCTTTGGAATTCCTCCAGGGCAGGGCTGGATAGAGAGAGCGCGAGGCCGGCTTTCCCGCGGCTTGATTGGGAACGATTTAATGCGTGAGGGTGGGTCCGCTCGGCAGAGGCTGCATTGTTTTCCCTAGCCCGCTGGGCACAAATGACGTCTCAGTAGGCAGTGTTTTGTGGAAAGAAAAAGAAGTGATGGAAGAAAGCAGGACCGGGAAGACTTTCTACTAATCTACAGAAAGAGGCAAACAAGTGGACAGGTGACGTATGGCATTCAGGATAGCAGAAACATGGATTGGACCATAAGAAATTCGTGGCCTTAGGCTAGGAAGTGATGGACTAGAATGTACCAGCTGGAATCTGATTGGCCCCCACCCGAGGGATATTCCAGAAATCCTTTAAAACCTGGTTCTGTCAGCAGGCTTGGGGATCCCATGAAAACAGGGAGCCGGTGAAATGGCTGTATTGCATGTTAAGACCTTGAATGCACTCTCCCGTGGTTGTATTTGTATTTATGTTTTAAATTTTTTAAATGGTTTTAAGGCTTTTGTATTTAATTGTTTTGTTTCTATTGTATGCTGCCTAGAGTCACATCTGTGAGACGGGCAGCTAAATATATTTGATAAATAAACAAATAAATAATCTTCCACTTCCCATTCTGCAATTTGAGATATTTTGACAATATTGTCAACAGAATTTCATTCTGAGATGTATAAGCTTGTCCTATCCCCAGTTGCTTCTTATAATGTGGAGAAACAAGCCCCCGTCTAGTACGTTCTTCATTTGCTTTGATCATATGGGCAGAAAAAGACTGTGTGCACACCTTGATTGATTTCAGACAAAGTATTTCTTATAATTCTTTGAAATATGAATAAAAATTATGCAAGAAAGGGCCACAGTTGCTCATGCTTCTTTGTGTTTTTATTTTGTCAAAATCATCTGCCTTCTATGAGATTTCTTTAGAACTCCTTCAGCAGTTGTATTGGAATCACATGGTTGAACTGAACTGGGTATCCTTTATGCTGGTGCTTACCATGGCTCCATCCTGTCATCTGTTTTCAGAGCCAGGGCTGAAAATGGGTGGGAAAAAGAACAGAACTAAATGTCATATCTATAAATATTGCCTTAGCTACTCAGTCTCTGTGAACATTGCCAACTTCCTATCACTTGTACTTGCTATACATCAGTATAGCAAAAGGAAATGAGGAAGACCAAGACTTGCTGTTTCTTATTTTATAAAAACTTAGTGCAAGTGAAGTCAGATCATTTCTTCTTCTTTCTCAAGTCCTTTAAACTTGCTAAAAAGCTCACAAGAACCAGACAGGATTTTCTCTCATTTGCATTTCAGTTTGGAGATGGAAAGGAATTCCGTATCCAAACTTCAGCAGGTAAGGTCTCTGGGAAGAAGATGTGTGCTCCCCAGTGTAATTCTTTCAAAAACACCAAGAATGTATATGTGTTGGTGAATTAATTTGTGCACGTATGGCAATGTCTCTAAGTAGGTGCAGAATGCAATCCAGTTACTACTGAGTAACTATAACAGTAGCAGGCAACAGGCTCCCTCTAGACATTTTGAGGTATAATTCCCATGATCCCTTCTGTATGGTTATGGTGTTTGGGGCTAATAAATTCCACAATATCTAGCAGGGCCTAGTTTGCTTCTTCTGGATTCTAAATCATTATTGATCCTAGGTTAAGGATGGCCTTCAGAAAGTATATTTCCAGATAGACTTTTTGTAGAAAAAAACGTGAATCACTTATTAAGGGGAAATCAGAAGTTCTTTGCTATTAACACTTGGTGCTTTACAGACATTGTACCATGTAAGAGAGAGCTACAGTGCCAAAAAATCAGGACAAGTCTGGTAGTACCTTTTCTGATTAACAAATTTTAATAAAATGTGTTAGTTGGAAGAGGTGCTACCAGATTCCTTCTGGTTTTTTGCTTTTAAAAGAGGAGGGAAATCACTGACTGGTAACAACCTTCAGTTCTCAACTGATTCTCTCTTGGCAAACATGATTATTGAACAGGGTTCTGCAGTATGGAGGCTATGGATACCATGTTATCCACAATGCTCAGAGAGAGAGAGAAAGAGAGAGAGAAAGCGCCAAATCTTGCATGTTATTAGTATTCTTGCCTGAAATCTAGTGAGATATAGATTGAGAATGCCAAAATCTCATGAGATTTTGGTGATTTTACAAGGTTTTAGGCTTTTAAAAATATTTTTGTTTATTTTGTGCCTTACTATCATGCAAAATCTTATGATGGCGTCCCATCTGAAAAGGTTGTTGACCTGTGGTATAGCAGCTTAGGGTTGAGGACACTTCCTTATAAGATCTTGGTTTTATTCCCAAATTACTGTTTCATCAATCCTGTATTATCATCTTTGTTCATCATGGAGTTAGTTTATTTCAGATCAGGTCCATTCCTCAAAATCACACTTCAAATAATTTTCTTTTTGAAATGGAGGCAATCTGGAGGTATCCAGTGGTGGAAACTTTTGTATTACTTCATCTCCTTGCTTATGAGTTCAACCCTGCCTTTTTCTCTGCAGTTCAGGTGCCACAGCATCTTGCCAAGACCCTATTATTTATAGAATCTTGCAATAAAATAAAATAAAAATCCTGTTTGGGACATGCAAGTTTAATGATAGAGACCTGATCCAGATTAGAGATACAGCAAGGGACAAAGAGTTAAAACTCTCTCTCTCTTGCAACAGGAAACCTGATAGGTACTTCTCAGTTAGAGGAAAAAAACATTGTAACGATTTGACATGAAACAGGTTGCTTCTTATTCAGAGGGAATCTTCTTTGGCCATGGGTACATGTTCCCAATTTGCCTCCAAATTCAATTCAAGGTGCTGATATTCATTCCCTTTACAGTAAGTAAATCTGGTATATAAAAATCATCTTTACAGTAGAACGTAGAATCAGTGATACTCCATGGGGCCATTCCTGATAATACTTTTTGATGATGTGGTACATGGTGCATTTTTTAAGGAGCATATTATGCAGAGGAAATCAATTCATAAGTTACTTCATAAAACCAAATACTATTGCAATACATGGATTTTTTCAATGGGAAAATTATATATTTATTTATTTCAATTTATATAGCTGCTCATCTCACTTACGTGACTCTGGACAACTTACAAGTTAAAACAGCAAAAAAACAAACTTGTATAAATCAAATTACAAACAATTAAAACAACAAACCAAAAAACACAAAAGTATGGGAGAATGCCAACCCCAGCCATGTCCATGGGATCCCAGGCCTGATGGCACAGCCATGTCTTAAGGGACTTCCTAAAGGCCAACAAGTTGGGACCATCTAACCTCAGGGGGAATGATGTTCCAGAGGGCAGGCGCCACAGCAAAAAAGTCTTTTCTCCTGGGTTCCGTCAGATGGAACTCCTTCGTAGACAGGACCTGCAACATGCCCCTTTTGCCAGGTCTGATGGGATGGGTAGATGTAACTGGGGAGAGTAGTCCCCCAAATAACCCACCCCCACACCATGTAGTGCTTTATAGGTCATAAAAATTGCATAAAACAAATATGAAATATTCCAATATATAACAATTTAATATTATCTCTGATGGGAAATATTCCTGGATGCCCATGAATTTTGTGTTAGATATCTTATGCATGACCTAGATCCAAACACCGCACTACCAAATTGCTAAGCTCACATGTAAGCTAGGTGACAATTTACATCCAAGTAGATATTGATGTGTTTATGCTTGCTCTTAAAGACTCCTGCTTGTATTGCCTTCCATTGTAAATGTTATTATAAATTATGGGTGCCATTTATTAACTCCCTTGCTTTTTGATCTGGGACTATAATAAAATTTTCTATCTATCTATCTATCTATCTATCCATCCATCCATCCATCCATCCATCCATCCATCCATCCATCCATCCATCCATCCATCCATCCATCCATCCATCCATCCATCCATCCATCCATCCATCCATCCATCCATCCATCCATCCATCCATCCATCCATCCATCCATCCATCCATCCATCCATCCATCCATCCATCCATCCATCCATCCATCCATCCATCCATCCATCCATCCATCCTCTATCTATCTATTGGCATCACCAAGGGCCAAAATTGATGTGGTGGGGGTCTAAATATATTATTGTATGTCCTGATATCTTGGGATTATCTTGCTCAACTATTGTCCTCATTATCTTCTCTCAAATTGGCCATTTTCATGACTACTTTATGAGCATTAAAGAAATACAGTTATTTATTTATTTTCAGCAACTGATAAGCTTCTCAATTCCAAAAAGGCTCTGAATAGCTTATAATTATAGTAAAGTAAAATAGAATTAAAAGGGGGGGGGAACCGACAACTCTTCTCCTTGCATAAGGCCAATGCCCATCCATTTCATAGCCATGGACATATTGAGGAAAACAGTCCTAATAATAATATCTATTGCAGGTTGGGGCCTGCCATACCATCAATCCCCAAATGCTTTCCAAAGCAGCCAGGTCTTGGTGATCTGTCAAGATCTTGAGAGTTCTGATCATGTCATATAGTTGACCCCTGAATGACTTATCAACTCAGAGGTAGTTACAGTATATTCTTATGACTCTTGGTATCTGAAATTAGATATACAGGTTGTTCAAGGCACTCTTATTACTATGAATGTCTTTATATGGTATATTGATAAACAGCTTTCTT